TCTGGAACAGTGTTGTAAATACAACTTAACCACTGATTTCTAGTCGTGTTCTCTTTTGGAAGGCCAACAAAGTAGTTTCACTTTTACAACGAAACACAGCAGCCTTGAGTGCGCGGAGGCCGGCGGCTAGAGTGAGCGGCGGCGGGCTAGAGTGAGCGGCGGCCGGCGGATTCGACGAAGGAGCAACCACATGTGATGACCCCAGGCTGGACTCCGCTTCGTCCACGGTGAAAGCCGATCCGACAATCCACAGCGCGAAGTTGATGTATTTCCTCAGCGACCAGCACGGATCAGCTCTAGGCATAACGAAGCGGATATCGTCCTCTTTTGGAAGGCCAAACAAAGTAGTTTCGCTTTCATAACGAAACACACAGCGTCTTCACGACATGGCGGCAGCAACAATACTACAGCGAGAATAAAAATTATGCGTTCTTTCTTTGGATGAACATTTGGGCGGCGTTATGCAAATCTTCCCACATCGTGACGTAGACATGTGGGGGCATGTTAGAACGAGCCGTTTTAGGTAGGCGTGGTTGACTCTTAACTTTTAACACTTCAAAGAGAAAGGAAAAATTGAAATCGCATCATATGACCCCTTTAAAAACATTGAGCGATGGACAGGCCCTGATAATGAGGGGTAAACTGTTCCAGAGTTTAGGGGCAGCAACAGCGAAAGCTTGGTCACCTTTGGATTTACAGCGAGAATGAGGGGCAGATAAAAGAAGCTGGTTACAAGATCTTAACGACTTGGAGGTTGTATATGGCTGGATAAGATCACAGATATAATCCGGAGCTGACTTTTGCAATGCCTTGTATACAAAAAGAAGGATCTTAAAATCAACTCTGAATTTGATAGGGATCAGTAAAATTTTTTACTTTTGCGACAGATCTGAGGTGGAAGAAGCTACTCTTTACAACCGTGTTTACATGCTTGTCAAATTGTAGTAATGGATCGAAATAGACCCCTAGATATTTTATATGGTGTTGTAAGTTGTTACTAAGGGAACCTAACCTACTTGTAAGAGTACTATTGAGTGCAGCGGGGCCTAGCAGAAGCACCTCAGTTTTGTCAGTGTTTAGTTGCAAAAAATTATTAGCCATCCAAATTCAAAACATGAGAAAGGACGTTGTAAAGAGTCATTTTCAAGTTTAATTGGAAGGTAACGTTGGAGGTCGTCAGCGTAGCAGTGATAGTTGATATTATATTTCTGGAGAATGGAGCCTAGGGGAAGCATGTAGAGCGAGAACAATAAAGGGCCAAGAATAGAACCCTGTGGAACACCATAAGGGATGGGTGCAGAAGGTGAGGTGAACAGCCCGACATTTACTGAAAAAGTCCTACCCTATAAATAAGGGTGAACCACTGTAATGCCTTGCCTTGAACCCCTACTACACATTTGAGTCAATTCAAGAGGATGTCATGGTCAATAGTGTCGAAGGCTGCACTCAAATAACAGTATCAGAATGGCAGATGACCCCAAATCAATGGACAGCAAAAGATCATTCATAACTTTAAGCAAGGCCGACTCTGTACTTTGAAGTGCTCTTAAGCCAGATTGGAACTTATCCAGAATGTTAAAAGCATCCAGGTAAGAAGCAAACTGTGAAAGTACTGCTTTCTCTAAAACCTTAAAAATAAATGGGAGTTCAGAAATCGGCCGGTAGTTACTAATGGCGCTTTTCCCCTGCGTGGTATGACTCG